CCTTCCGCTAATGCTGCTCTCCCGCCCAGGGTCGAGCTGTGCAGCTTCAGCGGCTACAAGATCTACCCGGGCCATGGGCGCCGCTACGCCCGCACTGACGGCAAGGTGAGGCGAAGGGGGACCGACCGCGCCGCGGCGGCCTCGCGTGGGGTCCGGGCTCGGCCTCCTGCGCCCCCGCGGTGGGCGCCACGGCCGCGTAGCTGCCAGTGAGCCAGTCCGCTTGGTGCTGCCCCTGCGCTACCGCAGGAGGCAACGAGTCGCCTTCCGAGAAGGGCTTGGGTGCGCTATCCAAAAGCCCTGTTCCGTTCTGCTATGAATATTGTATAGGGTTATTATAACCAACCTACCAGTTCTTTTTAGAGTGGAATGAAGCAGCTTAATACTTCTGCACCTTCTGTGCAAAAAGCAATTCCTTCAGGCTGATTTAATGGAGCGCCTTTTAGGAGATCGTTTTTATTAATAAAATAAGGTTTCATACACTAAAGTTTTCAAATCGGGTTTTAAAATACAGAGCTCCCTGGTTACAGTACTCTATTATTTAAAGAAAAAGTTAGTGATGAAAGATGAGTTAAAGAGTTATTTGATAAGTCAACGTAGAGTTCAGGAACTTACATAAAGTAGTTGCTTTCCTAGGTTTTCCAGTTCTTGAATGCAAAATGTAAAACTCCAAGAGAAACCCCCGTCAGATCAATTGGACTGTTCTGTACAGGCGTAAGCACAAGAAAGGGCAGTCGGTGAGTACGCAGCAACCAACACTGCTCTGAGCTTTCCCAGTGAATAATGTGGGCACGGGTCTGATTGGGAAAGAGGTGATTTCAAGGTTAGCACAAGTGTAACGTGTATAACCAGGATGAATCTTGATCTGTTATGCTGTATATTTGAGTCACTTTATATCAGTTCATGTGTTCGTGCATATTTGAAAGGTTTGGAAGGTAAATTGTTTCAGCAGAAGCACCGTGTCTATGTTATAGTGTTGGGGGAGGCATTCAGTACCACAGTAGATTTGGCAGCTTTAAGTACTTGTATTAATGGTGTATGATTTAAAAGAAAATGTCTACCAAAGATGAGTAATGCTGTTCAGCATTTGGAGTTGTTAATTCTTGGGACTTCCAGAGTGCTGATATCCTTGTAAACAGATGATCTGGAAAGTAAAGGATAGGGGAAATGCTCATATATCTTCTTGAAAGCTTTGAGTTACAGCTTAATTGGAGATTGTTCTTATGTGTCTGTCACTATATGCAAAAGACAAATCATGGTCTGAAGCATGAGGTATTTTCAGCGCTCCTGGCTGAATTTGCATAACAAAAACAATCTAGAAATTCTTGTATATGTGTGTAGGTCACTGTGTATGCGTATAAGTCAAAGGTTCTACAACTTGGAGAAAGTAAGCTGGTGCTTGATAGTGCATGCTAGTGCTCAAGGCAGTGTTGCCACTTAACTGGGAATTGCTGGTTCCCTTTGGAAGATTCCATCAATCCTAGCCTTTTCTTTTTCCTTATTCCCCATTCCCCGTTTTTTCTGAGGATTGCAGATGGCTGAATTTTGGAATTTCTTCATAAAGTATATGTGTGTGTGGTTTTTTGTTGTTTTTTTTTTTTTTTTAATATATCCCACCTACAAAGGAAAGTACATTTTAATTGGTAGCCAGTAGTGTGCTTTGGCAAATCAGAAAACTAGAATTACCTCCAAAGTGAGGTGTAAGATCCTATTTCTGTATAGCTTCAATTCGAATGGCAACCTGTTGCTGTACTTGTCTTTAGGCTTTTGGTTATGTCTTTTAATCTCTTGTCTTCCTCTCCTGTCATTTTAGGAAGAGATACAGAAGAAGCGCACACGCCGTGCTGTTAAGTTTCAAAGGGCTATTACTGGTGCATCTTTAGCCGAGATTATGGCTAAGAGAAATCAGAAGCCTGAAGTGCGAAAGGCGCAGAGGGAACAAGCTATTAGGTAAGAAATCGGGTGACTGGAGCCATGCCAGGCATTTCAAAGGTTATAAAAACTTTTTCTAGAAGAGCTTTAAACTCTAAAGCTTTTGGTGGGTGGTTTTCTTTAGATCAGCATGTTTTGGGCTGATTTTAGCAACATGTGGTATCAGCAGAGGGGTCTCTTCTAGCCTTCTCCCTTTATGGAAACACTTCTTTGTTGTACCTAGTTATCTTTTCTCTGTATCAGTCTTTCTGGAGGTACTGAATGCCAGACAGTGAGCCTGAAATGATGCTTGCCTTACATGATGTTCTAGACCTTTCACAGCCAAGAGCTTAAAAGAAAAAAAAAAATGTAGACATGAATAATTTGACGCTTTTTGTTCTGAATTAGGGCTGCAAAAGAAGCCAAGAAGGCTAAACAGGCAACTAAGAAAACAGCAGTTTCTACTGCAAAGGTAAGATATGGTAGTTGAATAGAAATAATAAAGTGTTTGCTTGGAATAAGCCATGTTGTAACAACAACCAGCTGTTGTGGGGTTTAAGTGGAAATTGATACTTGCTTTTGGAAGAAGCATTTTTTGTATCCATTATCACCTGGAAGCTTCCTGAAAGAATTTGTACTAAAGTTAGATGTGCATGAACAGCTCAATATAACTTTTTTTTTTTAAGAGAATAAGTGTTATGATAAAACCACTGTCTTGATAGAGGCCATTTGAGAGTCTAGAAGCTTGTGACAGAAGACTTGTTGGCTAGAAGCAGATATGACATCTCCAACTAGCTAAGCACTCCCTAACAACACACTGATAAGAGCTAGCACATACTATGTTATTACTTCTTAGTGCACTATATTACTTTCTTTGTGGGTGTTGCAGGTTTGCAGTGGTCTGTGTGATAACAGTTGGCTTATGTGATTCTGATATGATGTGGATACCTTCACTACATCACCTCATTTCAGTTGAGAATTTTAAAAGTGGACACGTTAAGTTTAGGGATGCCAGTACATTGTTTCTCTTCACTCATATTTTAATGTTTCTTTACAGGCTCCCACGAAGGCAGCACCTAAGCAGAAGATTGTGAAACCAGTGAAGGTTTCTGCTCCCCGTGTTGGTGGAAAGCGCTAATTTGCCACACTGTTAGCTGTGCTGAATAAACACCTGACCAACTTCCATAACGTGTGCCACGTTCTGTTCAGCTGTGTGTGTGATACTGGGGAGTTAATCAAAGAAGTAACCATGTCTGCTTTCACAGACTGAAAAAGAAAACCACTTCTTGCCATAAAACATGGGGTTCCTCAGGTCTGCTCTACCAGAATGGGTGCAGTGACACAGGTAGCAGGGAAGATCCAGCTTGAAGTTTAAGAAGCAGTTCTTATCTAAAGGATAAAACAGCATGAGTACTAACTTAACTCTAGATCTAAGTCCAGTGGCATAAAAAGGAGTTTCTAAAGCCCTGGTAATTACTGAAAATAAATATTACTCATTTTGGAGATGTGAAGAATTAAGTGTAGTGTCAGGACTCTACTACATGTAAATGACATTTCTGAAGCAGATGCTTGACTACTTAGACCTCTTCAGTGTGGGAACTGTGACTTCACTGGAATGCAGTGGATGGTTTTAGGATGTCTCAGTTGTTACTTAATTTGAATCTTGGACTCCTGCACCATCTGTTTAAGTGACTTTCCTGCACTTGTTTTGTGGAATGCATAGCTGTGAAGTGTTACAGAGGTGGAAGGCTGAAATGGGTTCAGAAAAGGAAAGGATGGTTTTGTGAACCACAAGACTGTTATGCAGAAGGATTAAGGGAACTCCTGGGTCAGCAGCTAAAGCAACTGATTGTGGGCAGCTTTTGTCAGCAAGAGCATGGCTGTAAAGGGTCCTGTCTTGTACTTTTTCCATAGGTGCTGACTAAGCTAAGTGAGCTGCTCAGCCCTGTAGGGCCCCTTTTCCTCAAAGTATGGTCTAGTCTGCAGCATTTACTACAGTATTGATAACAGCATGAGTGATTATGAAGTATGTTTCTTTCCAATGTGGTTTAGGTAGGTAAGCACCGTGCCCAGACGTTCCCTTGTCTTGATGGTAGTGGTCTTGGCAAGAGAATGTCCTTTCACCTGCTGGCTGAAGGGGACTAAACCAACTTCTTCATTTTCTGGATTAGATTCTTCACAATTTATTGGTGTCACCTGTTAATCTTTCAGAATCCAAAACAGTCTTGCACAGAGTAAATACCCTCTTCAGGGCTTTCACTATACTGTGCTGAGCAGCTGCAGCTTTTTAAAAGTAAACTGTAATACTGGCTTGGCTCTTCATACATCTGCTATCTTATAACTGCTTTGAAGAGCATTGGGCGCTTGCCTTATTGCGAAGGACAAGGAACATGGGTGGCTACACTTGAGCCAAGCGCGGTGGCTCACAGTGGGGCTGCCTGTGGTGGTACTGAATGTGTGCAGTTTAATCGAGGCAAGTGACAGGTAAGTGGAAAAAACACCCTCGGAGCCTTGGCGCGTTAACACCCACGGGAGCTCAGGATGCAGCGGCCGCGCGGCCATCACCTCTCACTGCTACTGCGACACGAAGCGCCCTGCGCGGCCCCTGTCGGTGCCTCCCTCCGGCCTCTCGGAGCCGCCTTCACCAACCCGCGCGCTCCAACGCCGCCGCCCTGCCCGCTCCCAAGATGGC